TATTTTAAAGGATATTAAAATAGAAACCATTATTTTATATTGTAATAATATTTTGCAAGATTACTGTTTTTTTCTGTATTTTTGATCAAATAAATGCAGCCTTGATGAGCAGAAGAGACTTCTTTAAAAAACATTACAAGTCTTACTGATCCCAAACTTTTGAGTGGTAGTGTATGTATTAAGATTTGTGATGAAAAGACTGAAAAACACTGAAATATATTTTTATGTATCAATGTTTATATATCTCGGCACCCTAGTGTGAAGAACTCTTGTCATTTAGAGGAAGTAAAGAGAAGCTTGTCATCTCTCTCTCTCATAGTTCCTGTCTCTCTGTGTGTTTGTGTCTAATGCTCTCTCTCTCAGGTTTCCTCTCCGCTCCACCCGTCACATTCACTCTAACGAGAGCCGGAGCTCGTTAAAGCTTTCATTCCACATCCTGCTCAGAATTGAGTTTTTAAAAGCACATTTTGAGAGAAAAGATATGAAATAAACGACTTCTGACCGAGTTCAAGAAGCTGTAGGTGAGCAGTTTGAAACGTTTCACAAACTACGGCGTCAAAAGGCATCTGATAGAAAGTCGGTGTGTGTCTGTCAGAGAAGTTTTAGCCGCTTTGACTGTTTTATTGGCTGTAAAATCTTCCGAACACATTGTAAAAGACAGTAAAACTGCAGTTTGGTGGAAACCGTCCACAACATCCACAAACAGATTTTATTTCAACTCCAACATTTCTGCCGGTTTCATCCTGGACGTGTTTAATAAGTTATTATTATTATTATAATATATTATAAGTTAATATAATAGTTCAGAAACTGAATCTAAAGAACGGCCAGCAACACAGAGATTGAAAGATGCTTTAATATCTGTGTATAATCTTTTTAAAAATAACAGAAGGCCTGTTTTCTGGCGTTCACATGGATAAAATGAGCACTTTAAATAGTTGTACAAAATATCAGCATTTGAAATTAAACATATGACTAAAAAGTCTCTCAAGAACGAAGAAAGAAAGAAAGAAAATATATTTTGCATAAAGAAAAGGAAAGGAAAGCATATTTTTGTACCGTTAAGATTCTTTGCATTATGACAATTTTCATAATAATTAATTAAGCATGTTTCTCTAGAATTCTCATTATCTTATGCAAAAAAAATCAATTTTTTTTAATATGGGTAATGTGAAGAAATAATTTTTTTATTTTTTTTATTTTAGTTATTAATAATTATTTAAATTATATTTTAATTTACATTTTTAATTTTAACATCAAATTTATGTTTTACAGGGTGCTACAAAGATAAGCATAATTTTCTAAAATAAAATAAGCAAAATATAACAATCTGAATAGTTTAAATGAGTGCTGTCAAACGATTCATTGTGATTAATCGCATCCGAGATAAAAGTTTTTGTTTATATAATATATAGTTTGTTTATATAATAACACAGTGTATGTACTGTGTATATTATGCATCTATAAATACACACACATGCGTAAATGTTTATATAAATATATTTAATTTATAATATATAAATATATTTTTTTAACTCTACAATAATGAAAATCCAATTAGATTCACCATTAAAAATGACAAAAAACTGCATGTAGTATAATTATGCAAATTTCTAGAAATAATAAGTACGTCATGATACACAGAATGACCAAAATTATTTGTACGGTGATTTTGACCACATATAAAAAACTCAAGACTAAATCGAATGTGAAAATACGATAACTCAGTATAAATCTGCCTCAAACGTTTATGAGCTCTCATTATATTGACTCCTGAAAGTTATTTAAAGGTAACAGTGACTTTGAAAGAAATCGGCGGCGCTGCCCTTCAATCCAAACATGATCCACAAACACATTGACGGGCCGTATTGATGAGTTTCACGTGTTTCCAGCCGGCCGTCAGTTCACCTGCAGAGCACGACGCGCACATCTCTCACCTGCGGACGACGAGCGATCAGCAAACACGAGCCGAGCTCGATACCCTTCAGTCGCCTCCGCCCCGCGGGGCCATCATGACCAGAACAACAGCACCCGTCCCCTGGGTACGAGATGAGACGCTTCACGCTCGGAGACTTTCTATCTCACTGTCCGCTCGCACCTGAACCTCCATCCAACCCCTGGGAGCCCAGGAAAATTAAAGCCCCCAGATACGCAAAAGAAAACACAGGTAAACAATAGAAACAGCGGGTTGAGCTTCTCTCGCTGATTCTCCGTCCGCTGCTTCAAGGTTGTTTACTTTCTTTATACAGTTTTTATTTGCTGTGATGTATATGTGTGCATGAGACATCTGAAAGACTACAGCGCTCTGTTCTTTTGCTCTGTGATGCTGGTTTGATTCCCATCTAAGACGCCTTTTTTTAATTTATATCTTTTTTATTATTATTATATTGGTATTAATATTATTGAATTTAATATAAACACATTTTTAAAAAATTATATATAAATATAAAATTAAATAAAAAATATATAATATAAAATTATATATAAATACAATAACTATAAATAATTATTGCATTTGGTGTAATACATTTATCTATCTATCTAGCTATCAAAAGTTTCTATCAATCAATCTATCCGTCTGTATCTATCTATATATCAGTCAATCAATCAATCAATCTGTTTATCTATCTATCTGACTGTCTATCCATCCGACTGTGTCTATGTATGTATCTGACTGTCTAACCAACCAACGATTTATCTACCTATCTGACTGTATCTAACTAACTATATATCTATCTGACTGTCTATCTATCTATCCATCTATTTGGCTTTCTATCTATCTGAATTTCTATCTAACCATCTATCTGTCTATCAATCTATCTATCTATCTAGCTATCTATCTATCTGTCTATCTGTCTATCTATCTGTCTATCTATCTATCAGTCTATCTATCTATCTATCTATCTATCTATCTATCTGTCTATCTATCTATCTATCTAACAGTATATCTATCTAGCTATCTATCTATCTATCGGTCTATCTATCTATCTATCTGTCTATCAATCTATCTATCTATCTATCTATCTATCTATCTATCTATCAGTATATCTATCAATCAATCCATCCATCCATCCATCCATCCATCCATCCATCCATCCATCCATCCATCCATCTCAATATCTATTTTTTAATAAAGTAATCTATAAAACAATTAAAAATATTTATACCAAATTTAATAATAAAATACAAGAATTTATATAAAAAATATAAAAGTATTTATTTCTAAATTATGTATATTTATTGAAATTTAAAAAATAATTTAATACTGTAAAAAAAATACTTAATGAAAGTATTTTTTATTGTTAGTTCAAGTTAACTAATGCATTTAACTAATGTTATTTATGTATTTATTTAAACCAAATATTTAATTTTATTGCTACAAATATACCCCAGCGACTTAAGACTGCTTTTGTGCTCCAGGGTCACATATGTGATTATGCTCATATGTGAGTGTTTGAGTGTGTTTTCACCTGGCTGGTGCTTTCTTCATGTGCTCCCCGATGAAGGTGGCGTTGGTCATGCCCATCAGAGTGTTAGCCAGCGAGATGACGGAGAGCAGGTGCTGCGTGGTCACGGCTCTGGAGACGCCATACGTGCCTTTGCCCACGATCTCGGAGACGGAGAGCTTGCGGCCCTCGGCGCATCCTTCGGCCAGCTGCCGGAGCAGCGAGTCTTTGAAGGTGGGCAGCATGAGCGACATGTGTCCTCCGCGAGAGATCAGGCCGAAGGAGACGGGCGTGTGCGGGCGGAGCATGCCTAGCCGGGTCAGACACACCTCGTCCAGCTCTCCGTTCAGACCCCAGGCGTGCAGGCAGGACATGAAGAGCTTGGCCGTGTCCATGGTCAGATTGTACTCCAGCAGACTCAGAGACTTGGACTTCTCCTCGCGCCGCCGCTGCTCTTCCTCCTCATCCTCGTCTTCATCCAGCAGGTGCTCCTTGATGTTTTCTTTAATGGTCTCCTTCACCTGTGACATGAGATAAACAATAGCATCTTAAACTATAGCTTTCTTCCTGTAAAATCTGAATACAAAAAATTATATTTTATAAAATATAAAAGTTTTAAATGTAAGTAAATACAATTAAATAAAAGTAGTGCTGTTAAACGATTAATCGCATCCAAAATAAAAGTTTTTGTTTACATAATATATGTGTGTGTACTGTGTATATGTATTATGTATATATACATACTCACACATACAGCATATATTTTGAAAATATTTACATGTATAAATTTATATTCATATAATTTATATCATACATAAATATATTTAAGGTATAAACATAACATATTTTTCTTAAATATATACCATGCATGTGTTTGTATTTATATATACATAATAAATATACACAGTACACACACATATATTATGCAAACAAAAACTTTTATTTTGGATGCGATTAATCGCAATTAATCGTTTGACAGCACTAAATAAAAGTAAATAGAAATAAACATATAAATAGTATAATTAAATATAATATTTAATAATATCATTTAAAAAAAAATTTTAATAACATTTTAATATTTTTATGATTTTTTTAACAAAACAAAAAAAACATTAAGGTGTTTACATGAGCTGCTTTTTGTTCCTTTCATGTTCCTGTTTTACATGTTATAGTACATAGATCCGATTAATGGCACACGTTGCGATGCCATCCGACATCAGAATTTCACGTATAAACATAGTTCGTCTTCGTTACGATGCCATATACAGTTTTGGGTGGGGCTCTTTTGTTGTAAAGATGTAACTGTAAAGTGACTGTAATGGGGTAATCACAATAGCCTTTTTACTCAATTAATAAACATAGTTCGTCTTCGTTACGATGCCATATACAGTTTTGGGTGTTTTATTTTTTATTTTTCACGAAAGCTTCAAGTGCAGTTAATTATTTGTCATGCTATATGTGTAAACAGACAGCAGCGTTGATAAAGCCATGCTCTTTTGTTGTAAAGATGTAACTGTAAAGTGACTGTAATGGGGTAATCACAATAGCCTTTTTACTCAATTACTCTGTGCTTTTTTATTATTTTCCTTTTTAGTTGAGTAAATTTAACTTCTGCTTTAACAGCACTATTTTTGTTTTTAGATTGCAATGTTACAATGTTAGAATGTAATGTGATTTTAACCCTTTTTGCACATAATATATGCCTACATGGTTACATTCACTTTATCTGTTTAATCCAAATACAAAAATACATACAGTATACTGCAAATCAGCCAAAAAAATACCGAGATATGAATTTGTGCTCATAATGCCCAGCCCTAAAACTAGCAAAACACACTTGTGTCGCGCCTTGCCCTTTTGTCTGTTCACAAACCCCGCCCCTTCTGCTGGGCAGTGCTGAGTCTGACCTGTTTGAAGATCTTATTGGCTAGGAAGGACCCGCCCTTGTCGGCTCCGCCCTGCGCTTTCTGCAGCGTCTCTGGCGAAATGAGGGTGGGGTTGGGCCGCTGCGCCTCCTCCGTCAGTAACTGGATGATCACGGCCTCCACGTCGAAGAACAGCACATGCATGTCCGGATCCGTCACGTTGGTCTTCATGGCCTGCACCACCAGAGAGTTGTGCGAGTATTTGGGAAGGTTTCCCTGCAGCGAGACGCAAAGAAAGAGACCTTTATTACAGAAAACTAGAAAGGACACCTCAGTTTTGTGTGCTGCTGCTGATACAAAGCAAACTGTCTTGTGAGAAAAATGTGTGTGAAACTGTAAAGTTGAACAACAGAGAGGTTTGGGTCAATGATTTTGCTCCGGCGCTCCGGATGATGAAAAGAAAGCTGCAGTGAGAGCGGATGAGAGTGATTTCTGAACCAAACAGCCTTTTCCTTAGAAGCTAAACCTGCTCCTTAAAAGCCAACAGGCTATAAAACCACCGTAACAACACTGTAAGACTGATGAAACCTGTTCTTCTTTTTTATAAGAGGAGAGCTGATGAGAATTGATGCATCATTCAAAATGAGTATATGATAAAGTACATTTTGCATTAATAATGACTCAAACTGAAGCAGCAATACATTTTGGGGAATATTTTAAATAAATTAAAATAAAATAAAAAGAAATACATTTAAAAAGAAATTCAACTAAACTAAAAAATTAAAATACACATGTTAAATAAAATAAATAAGTAAAAAATAAGTAAATAAATAAATCAGCAAAATAAACATGGTTAATGATTAATTTATATTATTCTAAAAACACTTAGAATTTTATATTATTACGTTTTTTTATATTAATTGATGACATGAATAAAACAGAACATTTCGATAATTTTAGTTTTAACGTAAAATTTAATTTAAATTCAATTTAAAATAAATAAATGTAAAAAATTATTTTGCTAAATCAAAAAAATTTTTAATACATTAATTAAAATAAACTAATCAATTAAAACAAATAAATAATTTTAAAAATAAGTAAAATAAGCAAATAACAAACTAGCAAATAAAAAACAGCAGATTAATCATGATAATTTTATTTTATTCTAAAAACACACCATGCTAATTTTCAATTCAATAACTGAGATGAATTGTGTTCATTTAAAAAAATGTTTTAACTAAAATAAATAAATAAATTGGAATAATTGAAATAAATTAATACATCAAAATAAATGATGAAATAATGAACTGAAATGAAAGCACCAAAATACATAAAATAAAATAAACGGAAATAAATGCATAAATTCATTAAAGTTAAAAATTGAAATAAATTTTTAAAATGCATTAAAATAAATACATAAATAAACAAACAATAAACCAACTAATCAATCAATCAATCAAGCAAAACAATCATGATCTTCTTTATTCACTCTAATAACAGACTCCATGTTCTTAAAGTAAACTATACTCTCTTTGATTTGTGAGGTGAAACACGAGCCGGATGCGTTCTTCAGCATTTTCTTGTGATTCAAGACGTTCTTCTCATCAAAGCTAATAACAAGGCTCATTATAACGGCAGTAATCAGCGAGTCGTCTTCAAACACATCGGTCAAAAGTTGTTCAGTGCGCGGGATAATCAGTTTATTTCCTGATCTGTGTAATAATCTCTAATGTTCATTAAGCCCTGCAGCATTCATTTCATCTCATCTGCTTCCAGTCGGCCCGTATTAAATAGCGAGCTTGCTAATTGTTATTCAATGTTAATTCAATGAACAAAGCACCTGCGATCCATTAGAAACATCAGGGAGGATGTTTACGAGCGGCCGCTGTCAGACGCGCTTCCGAACCAAAAACTTCTGCTGAAACGTGATGCTTTAGAGCTTAAATCAGAAATATGCACTATAGAGCATTAAATAAATGAGCCATAAGAGGCTGTGCATTGAAATTATTTTACTATGGTTACAAACTGCAGTCTGTTCATTATGGTTTTTACTGCAGTGAAGTGCTTCTTACAACAACAAAAAAACTGTGATGCAGATGAAATGAAATAAAATGATTAGAGTATTCCTGAACTAAATGAATAAAATAAAATAAATGTAAAAAATATGTGGGTCTCAGTAACAATTTCACATATATTTTATATAAAATATATATATATATATATATAATTTCACTTGTATTTTATATTTTATATAAAATTAAATTAAGTTTAATATAAAATAAAACAAAATAGATGCAGATGAAATAAAATCATCTGAACTAATTTCAGAAATAAATTAATACATGTCTAAAATAAAAAAAATAAAAAATAAAATTCTGGATCTCAGTAGCAATTTCACTTGTATTTTATATTTTACATAAAATTAAATTAAGTTAAATATAAAATAAAACAAAATTAAATTAAAAATGTTTATATCAGAATATTTATATTTGAAATTAAAAATATACAAAATAAGAATATACAAAGACAATAAAATACATAATATAAATAAACACAATAAATTAAAAAATATATAAAATCAAATAAAAAAATCTCAGTAACAATTTCACATGTATTTTATATTATATAAAAAATGTAATTAAATTAATAAAAGCTAATAAATAATATGCAAAATAAAATATAACAAAATAAAAATCATAACAACAAATAAAAAATATAAAATGAAATTTAAAAATAAAATAAAATATGTGGGTCTCAGTAACATAATTTCCATCTGTCTGGCACTGCTGTGCTGAAGAATACACTCTATCTGAATGCAGACCTGTCTCTCTCTCTCTCTCTCTCTGTTCTGCCCGTCTCACTCTCTCGCTCAGACAGCGTTTCCAAGGCCAGAAGCACACGAGCGCATCATTAAGACGAACAGAGCGCTGTCCGTCCCAGAACCGCTGGGCTATTTTAAACACATAAGATGAGCATCATTACTGGACACCTGACACCAGAACCCTTCCACACGGCTCCAGACTCTCTCAGCTCATCACGTGACGCTTTTAATCACAGTTTAACCAAACATCACTGCTTAGCGCATTAAAAATACACACCAAATGGAGCCGTTTCACTCTTAAACATAAATCTGGAGCACTACTGTGTATTCATAATCAGTATATGTTACTGTTTATAACATTTTAATGCATTATAGTTGCATTTATCAGATTAGAGCTGGTTGATAATATACATTATGCACCAATAGAATCAATCATGCAATATAGTATATATTGCTTTACGTGACTCTACAGTATTTATGCGGCTAAAGTAGAATGTGATATATATCCAATTTAACACAGTGAATATCAAATGGCAAATCAACTCTAGAAGTGTCCACAAAAACAAAAAGTGAAATGCAATAATGTCACCATGAATATGAAAAAGTGGCCGAACCATAGGCTAAATAAGAATATTGACTATTTTACAAATGCATAAACAATACAATGTGATTTACAAGCCAAACACAAACAAACACTAACATTATTATTGTTATTATTATTTAGCACTCCTATACCTCAAACAGTAAGGTATGACGCTAGCAACGCCAAAGTCATGGGTTCGATTCCCAGGGATTGCATGAACTGATAACACGCAATGCATGTCACTTTGGATGAAAGCATCTGCCAAAAGCATGGATGTAATTGTAGTTTTAGTTACATTTTTAGTATTTTATTATTTGCATTTAGCACAGTTGTCACCACGCTGTCAGCAATCCTATGAAAGCAGAGGCGTGATGGAAACACACTGCCCTCTAGAGGACACCACCGCTGCTAAACAAAGACAGAACATTACTTTACAGCAAGGTTAGGATTAATGCCTTTCATTCCATCATAGTATGTCAAACGCAGCCGGACTGTGTGTTATTCCTGCTCTCATATGTCCACATGAGCAGATATGCAGAGCGTGAGTACTAGATTACAGACATAGGGAAATATTAACAAATTAGCCAAAATATAGAAATAAAAGTGTGAAGAAAAGGGTACATAAAGGATGGGATCTGCTGAGATACTCATTACTGTCATGTCAAAAAGAATGCATGATTGAAACTGTAAGTACATCTGTTGTATGTTAGTCAGCACACAATACAGTTTCATAAAAACAGGCTGCCGTTCCAAACGTTAATTTATTCAACAACAAAAAAAAGAAAGAAAGGAAGTAAGAACCATTGTGTCCTGACAGGATGATTTTCATTAGTATCTTAACAGTTTTGCATTACAGTAAAGAAACTTTGGTGGAAAATGTACATTATGTTCATAAAAATAATGCCACAAATTCACAAATTCTAAGAAACTTGCACCTAAATATAATAAATTAACAATTTCACATATATTTTATATAAAATATATATATATATATATATAAAAAAAAGAAAATATGTGGGTCTCAGTAACAAACAAAGGAGGAGAGAGCATGAGGTCTCACTCCTCTTTTATTTTCCTTCACGTTTCTAGCAAACCAACAAAAAAGGCAACTGTTTCAGTCTGGCTTCAATGCAGACTGTGAAAGAAGAAAAATATGTGAGATGCAGATGAAATAAAATCATCTGAACTCAGAACATTTCAGAAATAAATTAATAAATGTCTAAAATAAAATAAAATAAAAAATAAAATAAAATAAAAT